CAGTCAATATAATATGGGCAGAAAATGCAAAGTTAGGATCAAGGATAGCTCAGTAAAGCAACAGGCTGTGAGTTGATGGCTGGGATTCAATTCCCAGCAGGGGCAACAGATTCTCTTCTACACAGTGTCCAAACCAGCTCTGGGGCCCACACAGCAATTTAAAACACATTTATGATCAGTCAAGGTTAATAGCTACAAGTTTCAGACATAATTTTTTCAAATTTATAGCCATACTTACATATGGAAGCATATGTGATTCTACAGGATTTGAAGAATGTCATCTCCTTAAAACTGCAAGTTATGAACTGCTGATAGTGTTGTATATATTAGGAAATATTTTGTGGTTTACTGGAAAAACATTTCCTTAGCCGTGCTGTCTCTAAATGTAATTATTGTATATAGCATGTGAAATTTGGTTTTTGTGCCTGTCTTCATTCTCTCTTGTGTATGTGCAAAATTGCCAAAATACGTGCCACATTATCTGCTACAGACATTTTATAAGATAGTTTTTAATATATGTAAATGAAACAAAACTATGAAGCACAAGATACTGACATAATGTTTTTCATGTGATATTGTAATTATGTCATCGCTGAATATTGTTTTGCTTATATTTGAAGTGTTCATAGATGTCTTATTTTCAGATAGAAGAATATATGATTGTTATTATTTGGTGTTAATTGTGCTTTTATTCAAATCACCTGTGTAAACTATGCATATTTAATTTTATTTGAAAGTTTAGTATTCTTTGTTTCAATAGGAAATCTTGTGGTATAGGAATAAGGTTCTAGCACACATTTAAATGTCTCTGGTTCTAGATTGGCCAGATTCAGTGCCTTCCCTTAACCTGTGACAGAGTTAGAATTTATAAGCGAGAGGAATACCAGTTTCTGGCCAGAAATTTTGCAATAAGCTGAGGATATCCTCTGCTGGCCATCACTCTCATCTTTGCTCTTCTGTCAGAAGTAAATGCAACTCACCCTCTGTGCACTTATATGTCAGATGTGAATTCCTTCAGTCATTCCATATAGAGAGGAGCCAGTAATATCTAAAGATCAAAAGTAGATGCATCAGACATTACACAGAAATGGACAAATGTAGCCATGGGGGGGATCATTAAAAAGCTGTAATTTAATTTACATTTTAGGTGCACATAATAGTTATTGTTTTTTCCTCAAGATTTGCTTGGAATCGGTGAGTTTTGTGAAAATATTGTAGCATGCAGACCCGTTACTAGGCAACGACCGCGAGATGAGCATATACACCAGAGCCAATACTGGGTTAATGTGCTTCGCAAACAAGAAACGTTCCCATGGAAATGATTTGAGCAATGTCTCCACAGCAACAAATCAACATGCAGCAATAGACGAACTGTTGGAAATGGTGTTTTGGATGGCGGTCCATGCCGAGTAGTTATAAGCGGGATTAAGTGAACACTTAGTCGGTTGGGAGTCACCATCCAGAAGGGACTTGAGCCCGCAATCAGAGGGCTAGCCACTGTTAGAAGCTGTTACATGGAAACAACTAGTGGATACTGTAACCAACTGAAAACTCTAATCTGTGTGCTATAGTGATTTGTAAAGTGTGGAGATTAGCGACGGAACCATAATTAAGTATAATTATGAGTTGTGTGTTAAAAGTGGACAATAAAATCAATCACCAATCCAAAACCCCGTCGAGAATTACTCAGAATCATGACAATATTGTATTTGATGTGAAGTGTTTATTTTATGGACATCTATAACTTTTATTCAAGACAGGTGAATATTTAGTGAGGCATGCCTTAGACTCATAAAATGAACTGAAGTGAATGAAACATGATAGTATTTGCTTAACAGTGGTACTGCATGTTATATTTCACCAGTATCTGTCAGAAGTATGAAAAGCTATACATAAAAATCAGTTTAGACCCTTACATAAAGCGATACTTAAAGTGAACCAAAATGAACTTAAATTAAAATAGTTTGACAAAATTGAATTAGGTTTAGTATACTGAATTTCATTGAAGTTGGTGTCATAACTCGGCTCCATTGCTTTCAAGTTGACAGGTAGATAATACTTCCCCCCCTTCCCAAATTCTCCTAGATGATATGTGGCTCAGTATTTACAAGACTACTGTATTTATGACTCACATTTTCCATCTTATTTCTACCAGCAAATTTAATATGAATACTATTTAAAATATTTTACTCTTATCCCCAAGAAAACAACCACATCTGTTACCATAATTGGACAATTAAAGGGGTTACCATTCTCTCCTTTTAAAAGTTACTCCTTGCCCCCTCCTTCCATATTCTTTTTTCTATATTTTCTCCCTCCTGACTTCTCTTCGTAGCCCCTTTTCTTTCCAGTGGTTTGTCATCTGAAAGGAATCTTTTTATTGTCATATACTATATATATATATACACACACACACACACACACACGAGTATATAGCAGTCTAGACTACTATCTTTATTTCACTCATATTTCTTCCAGTATTTATTCTACCTTCAGATTTCATCTGATGTCATATGTAATTTCAAATTTTATCTTGTATTCCTTTTCATATACCATACAAACATAATGCTTAGTCTGGGAACCCATAAGGAACCTACAAGTTAATTCTGTGGATGACATATCAAATTTCTGACCACTTAGGCAGGTAATATACAGAGTTTCCACTTCCCTGTAAGGGATGGACATGATTAAGGAAATGCAATAAATCTTAAATCATACATTTATTTCACAACAGAATATATTTCATATATCAAGATACAATGTAGGGCTACTCTAATGTTTCATTGAAATGCATGTACAATATGTCACAAATCTGCTTTATCATAAATGCAAATATACAGTTCAGGTATCTGTTTTATATTAACTATACATGCAAGTACTATCCTAACTTCAGATAATTTGTACAGAACATATCCTTTGTAATGCTTCATAGTGCAGTGTGTTCTATGTTCTTTACTTAAACTGTCACTTCCTTGATCTTGCATGTTACAATGTTGGAAGAGGCAGTAATGAGACAACTGCTGTTTAATTTAAAACTTTCAACTGAGAAGACTGGTTACTCATAGCCAACTGCTACCCCAGACAGTTTACTGAAACTCTTTTCTGATTGCATCAGACAAAAACCATTACTATCACAATATTTATGATACCTGATGCACATTACAAGCTTTATGAAAAACGTTGCTGTTCTGGAGTTAGAAGAATAGTTTTGGTTTGATCACAACTAAAGGTATATATGTAAATTTTCATATTTACAATGTATGGAATGAAAGCAAATAAAGAACAGGACATTAACATTTTAATTGTTCGAACTAAGGAGCCTTTGGTTAATGTTTTAGTCCTCTGAAGTATGAAACTGGATAAAAATAATAAAAAAAAACAGCTGCAGGTTGGAGAAAATATGTACTTCAGTACACAATAGTGGCCTCATTTTTATCTTGCATTTAAAGAACAAAAACCTGTCATGTCTAATGCTAGGGGAGACTAGCATTTTTCCTGTATTACACAAAACTCATTTTCAAGTTTCAGATTACACAGTCTATTTTAGAGAATATCATATTGTTTAGAAATTGTATTTCCCTGATTGTAAATGGTAGTTTACTGGGTGGCGTTCATATGCTTGTATATATTAATGTTCTTTTAAGTTTCCTTCCTTCTACGTTAAAATGAAAGGAATACGAGTACTATCTACATACATCAAAAATAAAATACTATCCTGAAAACAGTAGGGTTCCTTTAAGATGATATACTCCTCTTGACTTGTTTTCAGCTGTATGGCAATATAAAGAGTGCATAATGAAGATAAAAAAGATAAGCTAGTCCTGTAACAGGCCGTGGAGGCCCACAGGGTTGTGAGATGTTGAGGTTCCCACATTTTCTAGACAATCGGCTCACAGACGACAGCCAGGTTGTCAGCCTTATGTGCTGGCTGCCCTTNCCCCCCCCCCCCCGGAATATTCCTGGTACTCACTTCTGTTAAAGGCTGAGTCAAACCCAGGGCCATAGTGCTGCTGGAAGGGTTAGGTCAATTGAATAATCCAATGACATCATCAGGAATCGAACCAGTGACCTACCACCTTGTAGCATAGTGCCTCAACCAACTATGCTACCGCATGCCCCCATAAGCAGTCGATATCCTTCCAAATTTTGAAGTCATGAAAAACAATATTGGTTTGGGTTTAGAAGTCAAAACATATTTGTTTGCAGATGAATTTGGGGCTACATTTCATTAACCTCATTTATTTCACTGTCAGATCTTTAGCCAAAATAAAAAACAGACAAATTAAAAATCTCAGTTACACTGAATATTAAAAGCTGAAACATATAATGGGAACATTTCATTAAGTGTGCCATTTTGTATTCTAGTTGTCCATTCCTCCTTCAGATTTTGTTGTTGGGTCCTTATGACAGAAATGTTAATGGCTCGAAAGAACCTGAGTCTGAGTGAAAATGTCTAGTATCTACTGCAAGACTGATGCTTCAAAGATGGTATGGCTTAAACATGGCCCCTACTACCATGATTTACCACAAGTTGGCTTCATGTTTACAGTAGTTTGTTAAATCTGTGTTTTATGATCTATGTGCTGTGGCAAACCATTGTGCACCACGAGATTCTAGGTGTGCTAGGAAATTGTTTTAATGAAGAGGGGGAAACTTTCTTCCAATTGTAGAACTGGTGTAACACTTCTCTATATTATGTATTCTTTACTGATTATTTTTCATTATCTATGTTGCTACATGCTCCTGTCACACTTCGATTATTTTCATTAGTAATGGTTGGCATGAGGTCTACACACATTCCTTACAATCTATTCTTTTTTGTTATTGCTAGTGGGGTGGGACTAATTCCCTTGCACTGTGGCCAATTCTGGCCTATTGTACCAGCTCCAGATGATAGGTGGGGGTGATTGTGGAATGAAGATTGGCAGGGGAAACTGAAGTACTCGGAGAAAACCTGCCCAATGCCACTTTGTTCACCACAAATCCCACTCCATCAGACCCGGGATCGAACCTGGGCCACCATGGTGGGAAGCCAGCAACTAACCGCTTGAGCTATGGCGCAGCCCTTCCTTACAATCTAAGGTAAGCCTCTAAGTATATTTTGCTAATTTAATGTGCCCATGATCAGAGTCAAATTTAGAATGGAGGGACACATTTAAGATTCAAATCCTCACTGAAATTTTAAGATGATAAGAAAATAAATGTTTTATAGAAAATCTGAGTATGAAATATTTTGTGAAGGGAAGAATAACATACATCTCAAGAGCATAATTTATTTGTAAATTTAGATTAAGGTTTGCTAACTGTCTTTCCACACTTCACCTCCACCAAATTTAACTCTAGATATGCTATTGGTCATAACCTTAAAAATATTGTGGAATGCTGTGTTAGAACACATTTCCTTTTCCTCTTGTTTTTCAAAATTTATTGTATTATCCTGCTTTGTCAGCAGTGGAAAAATCTCACACAAGTACACAAACACCTGCTCAAAAGATGCAGCTCAACTATATATATTATTATGGAAGAAAATGTCAGCCAGAATGGTGAGAGTATTGTCAGAAACAGTTGACGTTGAACACACCAGCTAACTATAAGCAAACCTGACACAAGTCATAAATAAACCTCAATCCTTTCTGCTCAGTTGTTTGTCACCTCAAGACATTCCTCAAGGCCATTTCTGGGGAAGTCCACACCAGATGGAAGTGACAGTTATGGGGACAAAGCAGTTTAAAAAAAACAGTTCTGCCTTTTATATACTTAAACTTTTACAGACAATGGCTGCTATAATATTTCTGAGAAGCTTTAAACACCTCAATATGAGGAAATATTATAATGACATACAAAATAAATTAAATAAATAAATTACTGTAGAAAAATTATAGGAAACACAACCATTCTTTTTTTATAATACTGAAATATCATTGCACAGACCAAAATTACTCAGTCAGTAATATTACTATAACATTTTATTGCATTTACATTATGAGCAAATCTATTAAAATACACATAAGATAGTTTTAAAGGGTTGCAGAGTTCGAAGGTCATGGCTACAACCTGCCAGTTAGATAAACTCCATTGTAATTACTTTCAAGTTGTGCGTTAAATGGATAAACATTACAGGAATAGTAAAGTAGAATTATGAATAATGAAGAAATTGCATCTTCCATTTCAAGTTTGTCAACAAACGAATACATTGCATACACTAATAGATGGACACAATGTACACAGAAAGTACGAGTAATCATGATGAAAACTTAGCTCAATGTATACATCACATTCACTAAAAAATAATTAGTTATAAACTTTTTAATGCTAAAAAACATACAGCTTAATATGAATCACATAATTAAAAAAAAAAGACACAGATGACAGAAGTCTAAAATACCACAACTATGAACCACATAAAGTAAACTCTCCATTATCCAACATGTATTGGGGGATGGGAACTGATGGATACATGAATCTTCTTGTAGCATGAGAGAAACTCTTACAGACACCCAATACAAGGTCAAAACAACAGATTTCTCATTTACTTCTGGCATGGGAGTGTTCCTAGGTCACACAGCAAATTGATGGGTAAAAGATTTTACATACATATACTGTAATACGATAGGTAATGGTGCTAGCCGTGGCTGGGAGAAATATCATGTGGAAAGTAGACATATTTTCATTATAAATTTGTTTTTGAATAATCAAATAACGATGGTAAATTTTCTCTGAGATCTTTGCTGGTTGAATGAGAATTCTGGATGCTTGGATTTGGGATATTTGGTAGTTTCCTGTATTTACAGTCAAGTTTTCAATTGTGAATTGCACATGCATCTTTGAAATTGGATGCATTAAAGCTAAGGAAGTAGTCATCATGCAGAAAACGAATGATGGACTCAATTGGGCAAAGATAAACAGGTGACTGCTTTTTGGTCCATGACTGTGAATTTGTGGCATTGTGAGGGATTTCAGTGACATTACACTTATTCAACTGATGCATCAAAATAATGGTTGCACCTTTACAGAAATGAATATGATTTGTGAGATCTCTACCATTGAAAACAAGACGAAAGAAGAAATCCCTCGCAATTGGGCCATCTTTGGGTTGGCTGGAGGTGAGCTGGAGCTCCCTGTTCTTATACACCTCAAGAACAAGGCGAGAGGCGTAGTGAGGAACCATTGTTACCTCTGATACAACACCAAGAGCAATGGCCAGGTACTGAAGGGTTCTGTCATGGCCAGAATATAAAACAAGTTTTGGTTTTCCCTCAGACATGATGCGAAGCATGTGAGAGACAATGTCACGCATAAGCCCATACGCTCTGAGCAAACAGTACCGTTTCAGATTGCTGCTCTTCACATACTGACGAGCTTCCCATTCAGTGTAGGCAAACAATCCAGTGACCTGCTCCATACGGACACAAATTTCTTGTAATTTGTTTACTGATAACCCGTCAACACATGGTAGCTGGGCCCCATGGCAGACATAAGTTAACAGAGCATCTCTCAGTGCAATAGGGTCAGAAGTGACAGTGGGATCTGGCATTTCAAAAACAATTTCAGCAACAGTGTTTACAAGCTTCACAACAGCTGGATGCGATCGGAAATGCTCTGAACTCTCTGCAGAGAACTGGTGCCTGAATTTCTCAGCTGCTGGACAAGCACAGTCATTAAAGCAGAAGGCTATACTCTGGCTTTCACGTAATGTTACCTTCTGAAAATCCTCTGAAGAAAGGAAGGCATAAAGAAATGACAAAGCACTCTGGAATGTCCGTCTATATCGTGTGCTATATACAGATATATCGTCAGCTGAAAGGGAGCCATTTCCAACACCTAACTTATCCCCATAAGCAACTCTCAAAATCTGACCTGTTTTAAGATGCTGAGAAACACCGACAGGTGTCAACTGCCCCAGCTGACATTCTCCTGAACTTGGAGGTATCAAAGGGAAACCATGAAAAGGACCCAAAAACTGGGAAAGAAAACTGGACAATTTACCTGGTGCTGATAGATTTTGAAGAAAATATTCATATGAACGAAAATTTATATCAGATTCAAAATTATCTGAGTTTAAAAGATCGCCTGCACAGTTGACAGTAGAGATGTTTCTAACGTGGGCAAGTGGTCCTCGGTCACCATGTCGCAGGAATATTAATATTCCTTCCAGAGTATAGTTTCCATGAACTAGACCTTGAAGAAAAGCAAACTGAGTAAGAATACAAACAAATACTTTGAATACTTATAAGTATTATTGGTTCTAGGTAAACTGCATGGATTCTTAATGTAAGTGTGATGTACTGACAATTTCCACAGGAAAAGGTAAGACTTCACCAGTCCTTATTTCTTAGCATGTATTTTTATATATTTTCAATCTACTTCAATTTATGATAAACACATCAAACACATTTACCTTCATTTCCAATGGCAATTTCTTCTGGAGGGTTGCACAGCTTAAATATTCGCCTTGTCTTAATATCTGGTTTCAAATTTTTTGAAAAGCTTCTCATGGGAATATCATTATCTGTATGCTTCAAGGCAGATATACCATCTTCATTTCCAATGTATTTATACATTCCTACACCAATAAAACATGTAATTAATGTGAATTTTATTATTAGATATTTCAATAATGTGTCAGTTTGTGTCTAAGTTACGCTGTTATGTAAGATATGAGGGAAACATTTTATCATTTGTTTATATCTTCTTGGTTCTGTATTACAGTGGCTAGTGTTCAGATGAATGCAATCAGCATACCACACAGTACACGACATGCCTGCTGCGCAATAATTTAATCTATGTCTCTTACCGGAATCTGACAGGTAGTCTTCCCTAAATTGATGTACGACAGATTTTTAAAATTTCACCTCCCAGAAGTTACAAATTACTTCATGCATGAAGTGCAATAACTTTCCTATGTTTAAAACTACAACTGTAGACTGCCACACACATATGAAATATTACATACCGGCAACTAAAAGAAATATCCATACACTGAGGATTAAATAGCAATATAAAGCTCGATGTTGAGAAGAAAGCTTCATTATTTAATGTGACTTATCCCAAAAGATGAAGCATACTATAATCACGGAACTATACGCATTATTCCAGGTATGACACTACAGTGTGTTGCCGTTCTTCAATCATTTACACGCGTGCTGTAAATTCGTACTTTGTGGTTACCCTGGCTCCTAACATGAATTTCATAAATTTGTTTAATAAATAGATATATGGTAGCGCAGAAATTAAGCTTGACACATCGCATTTGTTCCCGTTGATACTATTTTTTGCCGTGTAATTCGTCTGTGACCATTTTTACATAAATATAACCACTGTAACATATACATTCCTACATACACACAAACTTTATCCTCAAACAACTTTAAACGCTTTGAGCTTTCTGCTAGTTGTAAAACAGACGACTGATGCCTAGTTTCATATTATACCACTAGATGCCCTATGCCCTGTAAAAGAAAATGACAATCGTTGTAAACAAAGTCACGTGGAAGGGTGGATAAATTTTAACCAATGAACGTTGAGACCGGTTGGACGTAGCCAATGAACTTCAGCTGTGCACGTGAACTGAGCGTGTACATGGCGTTGGCGATCAATTTGCTGCGAAGTTCGCGGTGTGCGAGGTGAATGAAGTGTAGTACTTAGTTCAGAGTTCGCTTTGGAGTGTTGAGGTTGCAGTGTAGGTTACGGATTATTTTGTGAGAACTTACTTCAACTGATGTAGAAATAAATGTGTTCAATGTCTCAGAGAGATACAGTTATTCATCTTGTTGCTGGCGGGTAAGAAATTAAATCTTGTGTGCGCGTAAACAGATTATTTCGTTCAGTTCATGGTGTAGGTATCGATCCAAGGAAGATATGTAGACCATTCGCCAAGTTTAACTCATTTAAACATAACAATTGCTAGCCTTCATTACTGATAAATATATTAGTGATTATTCGCGTGTCTTAGGTAGCCGTAGCATTCAAATGGGAGTTGTTGGTTTTAACGAGTGTGACCAACCAACCCTCCATAGAGCCACATCGTCAGGCAGGATGTTTTCATAGGGTGCTTCAGGCGAAAATGAGTCAAATATGTTCAGAATAATGACACGTTTTATGTTATGGTAGTAGTTCAATGTAAATGAAAACATTCTCTTCTTGTTCAGGGTGGCCGGTACGGTTGGCGCAATAGTGACTTGCCCGCTGGAAGTAGTGAAGACACGCCTCCAGTCTTCGACATGTGGATTTCATGTTCAGAAAGTTTGCTTACCGAAGATAGCAGCACCTGGGGGTAACAACAGTCATGTGACATGTAAAACTATTCTCCCCCATCAGCGAAGGAGGCTGACAACTTACGCAGCCCGAAACTCGACGCAAATCTTGGCCATTTCACACTGTGGAATGGCTGGAGCTAAAACCATGGGACTTCTCCAGTGCCTCAGGTAAGGTTTAATGTAACATGGTTGACAGTGCCAGTTCTGGAAAACTGTCTTATTATATACCTGATTGAAACCCTTAAAATGAGGATTGTGTCATAACCAGTGGTTGTCCAGTATTTTCTGATGGACCTTTGAACTCGAATGACCTGTTCTATGTAGATGTGTTTAATTTAAAAGAAACTTCTTTTTGCCAGATATAAAACTGGGCCTATTTTTTACATTATATGCAGTTTACAGTATTTGTCAGTTGTAGGTAATCATAGAAGATGAATTCGAGAATTAAGGGAACGTTGTAATTAGACTTGACTGTTGGGCTGTTACCTGAGGTAGAATGTGCTTCATACAAGATAATTTTGGGCTGAAAACTGATATTTAGTTTGGCCCCTTTTATGCTATTGTAGTTGATGGTTTTTAATTTCCAGTAATATTGAACCTACAAGGGAAGGTACTCGGAATGGAAGCTGGAAGCGTTGATAAACCCTGTTCTGAATAAGAGTATGAAAACTATTTTTAATTCTGACCTTGGGTTATTACATAATTTGAATAGAGAGAGAACTGGTGTGTCTTCCAGGCTAGCAGGTGCAGTGAACTGGGAGAGTTGTGCAGGCGACCACTGTGTCCACTGGCCTAGATGAGGCACTAGCCTCTGTTCTATCCCCCCCGTTTCTTTTCAAAATAGCGCTATGTAGACATACACAAAGTAGTTCACCGCCCTGCACAATTCTGCCCTGAAGATGGAGGCAGGATCACCCACAACTATATGGTGTAACAACCCAAAAACAGACTAAAGTGCAGATCTGTCTGCTTGGCCACAGAGGACTGACTGTATTAGGATTCCAACGTGGTGGAGGGTGAATGTCTGTTTGTCACGCCAAGATATTCCTATTCAAATACATTGTATACATTGTATACATCGTATACTGCTTAAATCAGGAATGTGTTCTTGTGATCATGCAAAACCAGTGCACACCCAGTATTCTTTGCTGCTCACTTCAAATAATTGAACACAAACCAAACCTCTTAACCTTTTTAAGCAGTATCAGGGGCTTCGAATTGTGGGCTTGTAATTTAAAAAACATAGGTCTAAGTAAAATGAAACGACACCCACCTCTTACATTTTTATTTTCACAAAAAGAGCATGTAAGGAAACCCGCGAGGGATGAATGACTGACGACGATCAGTTGAAGTTTTGACATTAGACTGTCATTTTTACCGAGCAACTAATATCCACCCACCATCTTGTATAACGCATAACATAGACGTGTCTGACTTGGTGCGATTCCATGTGACGGTCTCGAGGAGCCAGGAGCCAAGACGAACTGAGTGGCGGTAAACCGCCAGTTGTAAAGTAACTTTGACTTTAGGCCGCGCCATAGCTCCAACGGTTAGTCGCTGGCTTCCCACCTCGGCGGCCCGGGTTCGATCCCGGGGTCTGGTCAAGGGGGATTTGCGGTGGACAAAGTGGCGCTGGGGCAGGTTTTCTCCGAGTACTTCGGTTTCCCCTGCCAATCTTCATTCCACCAACTGCTCCACAATCACCCTAACCTATCATCTGGGGCTGGTACAATAGGCCAGAAGTGGCTGCAGTACAAGGGACTCAGTCCCACCCCACTAGCAATAAAGAAAAACTTTGACTTTGATTTCAGGTATGGGAGTTGTGGGGGATGTGACAGACGGTAAAGACATAAGCGTACAGTGTTAAAACCCGTTACCAGGAAACTTCTAGTGAAGACTGAGAGGACCAGTGTGCTGTATGTACTTACAGTGATATTTGGAATGTGTAACTCAGCGAGACTGTTGTAATTGCTAGTAGTTACGATTCATAAGTGATCAGTAAATCCAGTTATCCAAAACCCCGTGGAGAGTCACTCATACACGTGACTGCACTGTGAGAAGTGGGACTGAGTTAGATGGATTGATCGATTGGATTGAATTGTGCGCCGTCAGAGTTGAACCCAGGAGATGGATAATTATGGCGGATTTCGAACGTCTGATAGCGGCATAGGAGGCTCGAAGCCATGATACGTAACAACCAAGCCGAAATAAAAACCATCCCAAAATGGAGTGTCATTATGGGTAGTTGATGGCAATAATGAAAGCCACTAAAGAAAAGATAGAGGTCATGATGGAGGCCTGTCTAAAGAAAAGATAGAGGTCATGATGGAGGCCTGTCTAAAAAAGAAAGTGGAGGCAAATCTTGAAGAAATAGAGCCCTAGTCGGGGCATCGGGAAGAGGCGGCGATGGAGACTATCAGAGCACTGGAGGACCGATATGGGGGCCGGCATCTAGCCATAGGGCGCCGCCGACAGCCGAAGGAACTGACCATGGTGGGCCCCGGAAGAAGTTTGACGCCGGCCGCAGAGGGATGCCCAGCCGTGCAGGAGTGACACGGCGTAAGGGACGCGGTCGTAGACAGTGTTACATGAGGAACCTCGATAGGATGGACGTTTGGGAAGAGAGGTCGGGCGCAGTCTGAATGCAACAACGATATAAGGACCGAGGCCTAAAATAGCATTTACGTCTGGGAAGCAGGAGAACACTCAACAAGACCTTCAGGCAGACCGTAAAGCTGGAAATCGCAAAGCAAACCGTCGGGACTTCCATTACACTGAGGACATGGTGGAGTGGTCGGCCCCCTCCGAAACGAAAGAAGAGACCACGAACAACATATTTAAAGAGCCTGGATGTAGGAGCATTGACCACTCACGGATCTGTTGCCCTCACCAATCGGCGAAGGAGAATGGTGATAAACCTGGACCGACTGGCACCCAATGAGGGAACCGCTCGTCCCGAGAAAGAGGGAGCAGCCGGAGCGGTTGGAAAGTAATCATCGTGAAAATCGAGCCAGGGGGAGTAAAGTGAGATCAATCACAGCCCTTTAAAAGAAGAACTGGCGGTTCGCTTGTAGGCTATTCGCGACGAATAGCCTTAAGGAGGGAGCGGTGTAGCGTGTAGAGCCGTTACTAGGCAGCGACCGCGAAATAAGCAGCTATACCAGAACCGTTGCTGGGTTACGGTCGCAAACAAACACGTCTTCACAGCGACGAAGCAACACGCAATTGTTGGAAACGACGTTTCTCGCGGTTTTCCGTGCCGAGGAGTTATAAGCGGGACGAAGTGAAGACTGAGTTCAGTTATGGGAGTTGTGGGATATGTGCCAGACGGTAAGGACGTAGGCAGACTGTTAAAATCCGTTACCAGTAAACTTCTAGTGAAGACTGAGAGGACTATCGAGTATGTGTGCTGTAGTTACAGTGATATTTGGAGTGCGTAACTCAGTGAGAATGTTCTAATTGCTTGTAGCTGGGATCCGTAAGTGGTCACTAAATCCAATTATCCAAACCCCTGTCGAGTGTCACTAAAAATCGCGGCAGTAGTATCGTTTGTGTGCTGTAAATGTGTGTGCAAATACTTTTTTAGGCGATTAATCGTTATTTTGCCGAAAGTGAATTGCTCATTTCGTATGCCGACCATGGGTGGTGGAAACTTGGAAACCAGTTGTTCGACCGTGTTTCTTTCTTAGGTTTCCTCTGCCTTATCGGGGGAGGGGCGGGGGGTGCAGAAAACTTGGAATGCATCGAGTTACATAGAATTTCATTTTGTACGATAAGCATTTCAGCTAATTCTTGGACGTCACCATTTCCCTCCAAACATGGCTGCAGAATTGTTTTCAAAGCCGCATATCGCTATAAGTAGTAGCATTTATAAATATGATTTAGGAGCGTCTAGATTTTTCCATTTTTTTGGTTGCAGTATATGTCACCCTTCTCCTTATGATTTTTTTTTAGGCCGATTAACTCGGGAGTAGAGCCCGCCTTGAGAAAGTTATAGTCGCTGAACCAGCTAGTCAAGAATTTCTTCGCCATATATGGTACCATAAGTTCATTACCGTTTTCGCAGGAACCAACAGTTGGAGCGTGGGTCATTCCAAAGAATTTGGCAGAGTCCGAGGCCCCTTGGTTCTTTTTTTTTTTTTTCGGTGAGGTTCTGTTAGTCCTGCCCTGCCTCTAGGTTGGGCTACGCTGATGCATCACGGACCCCATCGCATGCTGTAGCTTCCATTACACTCATCCGAGCCACAAGGACGAAGTAATCGCACACAGCCTACTCTTTGCCCGTTAACGTGCTATTTATAAACTTGACTCTGGAAACAAATCCGCAGCCTCATGTGGAGTGAGTGTTCATGCCCACGACCTGCGAATAGTTCACCGCGTAAAAACGTATAAACGCCTGATCTCGAAACAAGGTATTGCCCGTATTTTTAGATCTGGCTGTTCTCAGCAGACTGCGCACCGATAATCAAGCTTCGTAGCGTTGTTGATTTGCGTATCTGACCTTGTCATGGTTTATCTGAAATGTCGGCGAGTGTGTTGTTTGGGTGCTGCCTGTACATGTCCCACATCATTGCAGCTCTTCATAACTCACAGCTGTCCAGATCAGACTGCTGAAACATTTTAGTATACATAAATAATGTTGGTTTAAATGCTGATTATCCTAATCCTTGCATGAAATGCATCATGTTTAGGCTTCTGACATAGGCTTGGCGGCGGGAGATGGAAAGTAAATTTGAAGTTGAACGTAACTCCACAGGGTCGAAGTAGATGTGAACCCGGAAGCGAATTACTGATATGTCATTGTTATTATTGTTAATATTATATTTCAGCATCCTTCTGCATTGGGACACCTTTTTGAATTGTAAAATATTCCGTCTGTAATGCAGCAAAGTCAATCCTTTCTTAAAAGACACTAACATATATTTAATTCGCTGAAAGTCTTTGTTAAATATTTAAAAATGTCATTAACTATGTACATTTTAAAAATTAACAAACACTTTTTAGCGAATTAAATATATGTTATATGTTAGTCTCGTAAGACAGATGTGACTTCGTTGCATTACAGATGGAATATTTTACAATTTAAAATTGTTATTGTTCTAGGCCTAATGTTCATTTCTTAATGGCACAAGACTAATCTTGAGAGCTGTGAGGAATGCAGAATGTCGGAACCATTAAAGTTGTGGCAGCAGCATGAATCAGCAACTACTACATGAGTCAAAACTTTCAGTACATATTCTGTAGTGGCTGTGCAAGCTCCTTGTCACTGTCTTCAGCAGGCGTGCATTATTGTACTGGGCAGCTGTTCTGCTGAAATGATGCTTTGTACTGCAGAGATACAAAGACAATTGCTTTGGTTCAGTTCAGCAAAGCACTACACAAGCATGCTAGTGGCCAGTATGTTCTGAACTGATGCTGTGCGCGATAAGTGTGTCTGTTTCGGTCCCTTCCCCCCATCACCGCGTCTTGTCACCCCTAAGTGTCAAAATTAGAGTCTCTGTATGGAAGATACTGTGGTTCACCGTCAAGGAGTCTTGAATGCAGCAAGATTCAGAGGCGTGATTGGTATCTCTGTAGCTGAAACCTTGAGACATTAATTCTTATTTCAGTTGTTGGTTACGTTTGTAACTAGTCTGGATGAAGCAGGATCTCCTGTTTATTGGTTTAATGGGATAGTCTACAAAGAAGGAAAGCAGTTGGTATTATATTGTAACAATACTGATGTCATATTTTCGGTCGGAGGCGCGTAATGTCTTCGCCCGATCGAACGCTGGAGGTCGTTGATTCAAATCCCACTGGATATTTGCGTTTGTGTGGATGAGGTTGGAATTATGGGTCGTTGTTAAACTCCTTGGACGGAGATCAGGACAACACAAACACAGAAAGAAACGCACGCATGCATCCATATCTCTGGAGGGATTCAAATCCACGTTCACATTATTCGAGCGGCCGAAGACATTCGTTCCAGACCGCACGACCGCTGTGATCTGCTTAAAGATTCATACGTTCAGAAATTCTGGATCAATAGAGGCCAGAGTGTCGAAAGCGAAAGAAGAACTATGCTGGTATATAATTTAAGTGTCATTGTTCTGTGTGAATTTGAAGGTGTGTGTGTGTGTGTGGTGGAAGCATGTACGATTTCGTTTATTTAAAGTTAATGTTTATGTTCTGTTTTGATCTGCTAGTATTAATATGACTGAAATACAAATAGGCGGATGCGAAGTATTTGGAGTGGCCTTTTTTTTTATTAAAATTAGTCATTTTGCATAGTAAGTCTCTTGTTAAAAGAAGAGATGAAAGTAATTGACTGTCCTTTGATATTTAAAATTTATGCATGTCAAGTACTTGTCTGGCCCAGAATGATTTTACAGCACTCAAGTTTTTCACTTTAAAACAAATTCACTCAGGTCAGGGACCAGTTATGGGCTCTAATGAGCGCTACAGTCAACTTCTGTCCGGTCCTAAGACCGAAAGCAGGGAATCAGCTGAGTAGCTATCAACCTTACTCATCAATCTTGAAGATGGAGGCAATATATTCCTTCGAAACGTCGGCTGACTTTCACCGGGCTACATATCGTTATGCACAAGTAGAACTCATCAGCTTTTCAAGGAAGAAACATCACCGTTGAGTTAGTTTATTGTGGGTTCCTTAAGTATGAATGCTTTATACGATTATCGTGTCTGACAGTCTCGCATGTTTCGAATCGGGAATTGCTGAATGGATTTTGATGGAATTTGTCATTAGAGATTTATAAAAAAATTGGAAGGCATTTTCGCTATTCACAAAGCTCGACAGCGTAGAACCATATTGTAACAAGGGAGGATTACGCAAATATAATGTATGGAAATTGTGCTCCGGTGCAGATTACACGTTTCCAATGTTGTTTTGCTTTTTTCTTTTCAGTATGTTTTGATCTGATACCTGTTTGAAATACACTGTTACAAAGCTTTCCTTCTTAACATAAGGAAGATATTCGTGAAACTTTGTGTAAAAGGTCAGCTACGTGTGGATGGGCTAGATCGTGTGGGTGTCTGGATGGAATAAAAGAAATTCTTCAAAATAACTGAAACCGGCAGTTCACATGTTTTGGTTTGACGCAAAAGGTACCTGGAATAGCAAATGTTAGAAACCATTGTGATGCCCGATGGTAGACCGTACGCTGAAGTACTTTGCCAGAAAGTAATTATCACATTGTTTATACAGTTAGACTACTGTTTACTGTGTAACCGTCGGATGCGCAGACATTTCTAGGAAGTAAGTTTACTTAGGTGCCGGTCACGGTAGCCGAGAGGTCTAAGGCATACACTGTCTTCGCTCGCGGTCGTGGGTTCGAATCCCACTCAGGGCATGGATGTTTGTGTGCGTTTTTCTGTGCTTGTCTACAGGTAGAGGCCCTGCGACGAGCTGATCACTCGCCCAAGAAGTCCTACCGTGTGTGTAAGATCTAGTAAACCGAAGTGAAACGGAGAGTTTCATGGAGGTAGGCCTAGGCCCAAATTGGGGCTGTAGCGCCACAGGAAAAAAAAAAAAGTTTACTTAGGTGGAGTCAAGACCGCGACACAGAGTGAGCTCTCAAGGAATTATAACAGCCATTATTTTGTTTTTCATTGCAGAAGTATAACTTGCATAGACGGTTGAGCGTGAAAGTTGCCAGGTCCTGTTTATTGCCAGTTTATGATCGCAACGAAAAGTGTTACGAAAACAGTGCAGTTGGGCAGCGATTTGCCCATGAACTGATCCTCTTTTATGCATATTTCATATTAGCAAGAATAATTTAACGTACAGTCACGTGAAATGGAAAAGTAGGCACGAGACCTAACGCTAGCGGCGACTCACTTTAAGGTCTGGAAGGGTCATAAAACTTTTGTAGTTGTTGCTTGGGGTGTTAAAGCTGTAAAGCTATCCCAGTAACAGGCCTTGGAGGCCCATAGGGTTGTGAGACGTCGAGCCTACCACATTTTCTAGACAGTCGTTTCACAGATGGCGGTGAGGTCAGCTTTACGCCCCCCCCCCACCACCACCAGGAAGATTCCTGGTACGTAGACCCAGCTGATTGTGGGTATGTTTGCAACAGGAGGAGGTAGCTAACCAATGCCCTAAGCAGTAGCGTGACCCATAGCCCGCGCCAATAATATGATGCTATTTGTGTGTATATGCCGTCCTTGGAAGATAAATGAAAAAGCTATCTATTTCCACATGCTGAGACGTTTCTTGCATTGCTGCTGTTAGCGTGGGCAGACCTGTTTAAGTGTCTGGTCGTTACGTTTAGCATGATGTGTTGCAACCTACGTATGGTAGCCTGTTTGAATAGAAATGATATTTCCAACGTACATACGTTACATTTGCTCTGTGTTGGCTGGTATCAGAAATGAGGAAGTAACATCCCTTATTGGAGCAAACTTGTACGTGGGTCCTATGTGTATTTGCCTCAGTTTGTTCTGTCCACAGGCATGTGTTTTTGAGGAAATAGTTCTGTTGCATATATACAGATAATACTATGGTTATCCGGTAAGTAACCTCCGGTGAGCTGTTAACAAAACAGAATGAGAAAGAAATATCATACAAAAATACGTGAATACTTAAGCCACTTTTCAACGTAGTCACTGCCGGAATTGAGGCACTTGTATCCGGGAATTAAGTTTTTGTATTCCTGTGTCAGAGAAGTATGCCTCCTTTGAGGTCAGCCACGTTTTGACACGTTCCATCAACTCATTACTGTCGAAGCGCAGTGATCTCAACCAGTTCTTCAGGTAGGGAAACGGGTGGTAGTCGTTCGGAGCGAGTTCGGGGCTGTAAGGAGGGTGGTCAAACAACTCCCAGTTGTGCTCCAGCAGTACTCTAGTGCGAGTAGCTGTATGTGGACGCGCAGTATCATGGAACGCTCTACATCGGATGTCAGCATTCCACGCCTTTTGTTCTGAATGGGACTACGCAGTTTTTTCATAGTGTTTCGCAGTACACTTGTGACGTTATTTCGGCCCCTTGTTGCATGAATTCCACTGTCAGCACGCCTTTCAGGCCCCAGAAAACACTTGCCTTCATCTTCCAGGCAGGCAGACGACATTCGTTTAAACTTTTTTGGGTTTGTTTGGTGAATGTGTGTGTGCATCCACTGCTTTGATTGCTCTTTGGTTTCAGCATTCACAGATGAAACCCATGTTTCATCGCCTCTTACTCTCACGATCTGATTGAGAAATTCAGCACCATATTTGTGGTATAGCTGTAACAAAGTTAAAGCCAAAGTCATTTTCTGCGTTTTATACGCACCCGTAATCATTTTCGAAACCCACGCCGGAGCGTGAAGCTGACCACTAACCTCCAGCTAGTGCCGAGGTCAAGAAAATGTAGATCTATACATGCACTCCCCATACTCCTTCATGGCGTAGTGCTTAATTCGTTAAGCACAGGGACAGCTTTTACATATACTCATGGTAAAGTAACATCTTATTTTATCTTTTCTAGTTTCCGTGGGCACTTAAATTGATCGTACGTAGAATGATCCTCTATAAGAGTCAACCACCATTCAGTGCTACCACAATATTATCGGCTTTAAATGTGGGCCCATTGCCCCTCAAATGTTGCTGCTTATGTGATCCCAGAACAGCGTCTGGGATGCCAGAATTGATGACAGTGTGGAGAGACTGTTGAAAAGGATGGATTAACAAGACAGCAACCGTATGGATAAGAAATGGAAAACTCGCCTCTGCGCTTCCCTATCCAGTTTATCCTTAACTGTGGCTTAACTTTTTTTGCCATTTCGATTATCTGTTATTGCTCTCGCTTCTGCTTATCTGCCCGATATACTTTGTTGTCAGCTGTCTGTGGCATAAATGTTTGAGGCAGTTTGCGTCATGTTTCTTCATTTTACCACACAATTTTTGTTCATGCAGGCTAGCACGTATGGACGAAAATTTGTTGACGGTTAAGTCACTTTCCTGTTCGAAACATCACTTAATAGATGGAGCCTTTTTAAATGAAGAATTAAAAGAGCTCTCTCACCTCTTTACCTGTAGGCACATTGTGGAGAATGAGGGCCCCAGAGCCCTGTTCAAGGGACTAGGCCCCAACCTGGTGGGAGTAGCCCCATCCCGAGCTATCTACTTCTGCGCTTATTCGCAGACCAAGAGCTTTTTCAACTCAGTTCTCAGCCCCGACACCGCCATCGTCCACGTGTGCTCCGCATCATGTGCAGGTCAGTACAAACCATCCCTACGCAATAGAGGGCTAGGGAGTAGTGCTTGATTTAGCATCGTTTTGTTTGTGTTGTTTGCCCTTGCTTTTTAACTTATGTTTTTGTCTGTGCGTTATGGAGACATAGTAGGGTGATACCAGAATTCTACCCTGACGGTGGAGACTGGAGTGTCTCCTGACTTTCCTCTGGAAATGGAGACCACAATCTCTAGACATCACCCAGAAAGATGGAGATTACAATTGTGCGGGACTTGTGTGTGAACGTGTCTCCAAATATGAAGACGGCAGGAGGAGACTTGTAATCTCTGGACTTCGCTCTGAAGATAGGCTGCAGTTTCTCTGACACTTGGGCATACCAGATCTCCAGACAGGTGTTGTGTACAATCTGAAAGCTGATGACGCGAATCTCAGAGAATCACCGCGGAAGCGTTGAACTTACGATGGAATATTATGACATGTTTCATTTATGAAATAAATCACCATTGTTCTTATTGTGCCGTGCTGTTGTTAGCGTTGGTATTATAGAGTCCCGTTGGGGAGTCGTTTTATAAATATTGATCTATTGATTGAAAGTTGTGGGTTGTGCCTCCGAGTTTAAATAACCTTTTAGTTGAGTCTTCAGGATTTCCCAACTTTATTATAGCCCCAGGGACATATATTTGTGCACGAAATCGTCAGTTAGCGTCAGAATGAACAATGTAAATTGTTATTTTTATCGGATGATTTATTTTTGCGTCGTACGTATATCGTATCCTTTCCCTGTGAAGGAAGTGTATTTTAGTTTCATGTGTTGAAACATTGTGATATAGACTAACTTCTCACCCTTCAGCCACCTTTTCTACGGCGTTAGGCACTGGCTATTCTGTTTAGTTTATGCTTTTATATTTATATCGGCTGTCATCTGTTTTGCATAGTAGTGCAGCCTTTGTGTTGATTTTTATTTCTTGGTGACGTACTTCGCTTTGGATATTAATTATCAAGTAATAGGATTAAGCTTAATCTTGTAACGTCGAATTCATGTATCACATCAGTTGTTTGATGACTTGTGCCTAACCTTAGCAATCTGTCATTTGTTATGCTGTGGACTTTTACGAGTAAAATTTAATCAGTAGACGTGTGTTTTTTATGCAAGTGATCGTATCTGTTATATTTGATTTGTTTACACGACATTTTAACTGTAAAACGGGTATGGATGAATATATGCTAATATTGTGCTGAAAAAGAAAGTCCTGATACTTTATAAAGGCAGTCAATTACAGGATGATTTAGGAGGAATACTCGTACATTACTGGAACGATTTTGAGTAAAGATTTACATTAACTTCAATTTAAAACAAAAATAAGTGGTATATGCTAGAGAAATGTGTTCAAAATATTTTTCTCACGAGTTTCCATATGCGGTTTGAATGCACACTGACACATCTACGCAGTGTTGCCCACCATTTCAGCCATAATACGCCGTGCTCAAATGTACCTGAAAGCGGGCACTTTCGAACGGATTTTATAACATGTTTTATTATTAAGTAACATGTATTTTAATTTTCTACTGACGTCATTGTGAAGCTTTTAGTTAAAACCCCCTATTATGGCACGTCGTTATGTTGCTTTACACTTACCATGATCTATTAAACGGGTGGAATAGTTGGTTAAGGCACTATGCTACAAGCGGGTAGGTCGTCGGTTCGATTCCCGATGATGTCATTGGATTTTTCAATTGATCTATTCCTTCCAGCCGTATACTATGGCCCTGGGGTCGACTCAGCCCTTAACAGAAATGTGCACCAGCGCGGCCGGCGCGTAAGGCTGACAACCTCACCGCCATATGTGAGCTTATTGTTTAGAAAATTGTGGCAGCCTCGACGTCTCACAATCCCATGGGCCTCCACGGCTTGTTACTGGAATAGCTTATATGATCTGTTAAAGTTTCCGAATTGGTGAATTTATTTTTAAACTCAGAATCTCTTGATTAATGTACCCACGAAGTGTGACTGATATCTCCACAAACACCGTCTGTATATTCGTTTACGCAGTCAATTCTTGACACATCGGCCTAACTTCTAGGTCATTGCCATTGTTACTGTGCTGGAGTGTTCGACCAAAAGAAGCGCGACTAGCCAGTATTGTAGCTTATCGAATGCATTCAGTGTACTACGTAACCTTGACCGGCGGCAGTTATATTCTAGAAGTACATCATAAATGCATCTTTTCTAACCGCGCCATGGCTCAAGCGGTTAGTCGCTGGCTTCCCATCGCGGCGGCCCGTGTTCCATCCCGGGTATGGTCAAGTAGGATTTGTGGTGGACAAAGTGGCGCTGGGGCAGGTTTTCTCCGAGTACTTCGGTTTCCCCTGCCAATCTTCATTCCACCAATTGCTCCACAATCACCCTCACCTATCATCTGGGGCTGGTACAATAGGCCAGAAGTGGCCGCAGTACAAGGCACTTAGTCCCACCCCACTAGCAATAAAAAAATAATATGTGAAAACGACGTTGATCGGAACCATGTCACTTTCGTCAGCATTACAGTATAGACAAGATGATCGGGATTGTAAATACGTGTATATTCTTGGCTGGAAATACAGGTAATTGTAAAGTACAATAATGATTATTTAGCATTTAGTGTTATATACTTATATTTATTCACCTATGGACAAAGGTGAAAGCCAGAAGGAAAGAGACCACTGCGAAGACCAAGGCGTAGGTATGTGGACGGTATTAAAATGGATCTTGGAGAGATAAAATGGGATTGTATGGATTGGATTCATCTGGCTCAGGATATGGACCAGTGGATGGCTCTTATGAACACGATAATGAACCTTCGGGTTCCATAAAATGCTGGGAAATTCTTGAGTAGCTGCAGATTTGGATTCTCCTCAAAGAGGGCTCAGCTCTGTAAGTAACGGTCAAAGGTGAAACCGCTTCTGTGGTCTAGTAGTCAGAGTTCCTGGCTACATATCCTGAGGTCCCAGGTTCGATTTTCGGCGCTACCAGATTTCTGAGAAATCGTGGGTCTGGACGAGGTCCTCTCAGTCTCGTGAGGATAATTGAGGAGATATTTCAAGGAAATAGCGGCTCCGGTCTAGAAAAGCGAGATTAACGGCCGTGGGGATTCATTGCGCTTACCGCGCGACATCCTCTATCCCCTAAAGTTGACACTGAGTTCGCCGACAAGCGGCGGTCGCTCGGTCAGTAGAGTTCGCTAGCGGACTACAGGCCACGGAGTTGTATGGTCAGAGGTGAAGCGAGCGAGAGTTGGATTAGGCCCCCGTCTCGTTAGTATCAAACTCTAGTTTGGGCGAATAACCCGCTTCACCGGCAATTTCCTTAAACCCTGGGACGAACAACAGCGTTATAACGAGTTAACACGACGTTGCATGAATCCCCTGTATGAAAGTAGCATCAACGTAATAATGACACCAACGTTATCAGGGACAGCGTTAAGCAAGGAGTTGCTGTAATTTTAATATGAGTAACTTTTCATGGCTAGACACCCATTTCATGCTTACGTTGTTGGAAACACAGAAGGAGTTATGCAATTTGCGTACTTGTAAACCCGTTTGTGAACTAGGGACGAAACAGCTATGCACTAACCATTTTCTCCTCCTGTTACTGCTTTTATCCCTTCGCTACTGAAAAAAATGTTGTTATACCGGTTCGACGATTTATCACACGTAACCGGTTTTAGGTTTTCTGTTCTCCCACCCTGAGCCATCGCCAGCCGCCAACTTCCGCCTCCTGTTACCAGTAGGTGGAAATATCAGCTGTCTAGAATTCTGTGCAAAATCATCTCTCTCTTTGCGTCCAGTCAAAACAGACGAACTAGATCTATGTACTGAAATATACAAAGTTGAGAAAACGGAGCATTCAGACCGTAATTCGATTCCTGTGTTGTTTGTGGTAATATGCAGCGCTGGGATTATAAGACTGTGCAGTACTGTACATGTAGATTGACACATCCAATCAAGCGCAACTCGGGAAAATGACTAACTTCATGGAGCTGAGCCCTTCTTGAGAAGCCGTCAGTTATGCAGCTACTCAGGAACTTCCCAGGAATTTATGGACCCGAAGGTTCATTGCCGTGGTAAAGATCTCCATCTGTTTGAATCGTTGCCGCACCGTGAAGACGAATGGGGGATGGAGGCTTTCTCCCCTGAAGAAAATAACCGCAGTTAGGAGATGGGCCCCAGGGCCGATTTGGGCTTGGTGTCCAAGGAAATGTCCCTGTATATTTTTAATTCTAAGAGAACAAACATTCGCGAGGTTTGCCTGGGTCAGCACCGTACCGTTGGTTCAAGGAACCAGATTGCTCAGTCGGTATAGCGGCTGGAAATGGGCTGGACGGTCGAGGGGTCGGAGTTCAAGTCCTGGTAGGGTCAAGAATTTTCTCCATGTCGACAAGACCGGCTCTGGGTCCCACGCAACCTCCTATCCAGTGGGTACCGGGGGTAAAAAGGGCAGGGCGTAAAGCTGACCACTCACCTCCGACTGATGCCGAGGTCAAGAAAACTTGGATCCATAAATCCACTACTCCATACGCCTTCATGGCCTAATGCTTTAATTAGCTAAGCACCGGGACTTCTTTACCTTTTACACCATTGGTTCAGGAGGTGAGGGAAATGGATCTTACAAAGGGTTAGATAAAACAAGCAGTAATAACAAAAATGACCGTTGCGCTGAGTTATTTTCCATCTGTTGCCCTGCGATTTGCATGTCAGACGTTTCTCTAGTTGAACTCGACGACGTGGTCTGCACATTCGGATGTAAGAATGAGTTCACGTCGAGCTGTGTGTAAGCAGTGCCTTTTAACGTTCACCTTCTAAATTTCCCACACAAGAGATCATTCCAGCCGGATTAATGCTTCGCTCTTTTTAACATGTTTGTGCATGAACGTGGCGGCTGTCACCATTTGGACTGGGGAGCGTCTTGCATAGCTCAGTCAGTATAGTGACTAGGCTACCGGCTGGATGACCGCAGAATTGAGGCTCGTTTCCAGACATAACAGA